AGAACAAAACAGTACCTCACTTGGTCCTGTACTTCAACTAGAAAATAAAGAGAATAATAATCAGATGAAATGAAAGTACCATTTGCTTTTCTTTCTGCAGACAATCAGTAACTGAAATACTGTCAACATTCAGACTGCATCACATAGCATTGCATGGATAATCCTCTGGTACATGCATTACATTTCTATTCATACACCATGAATGACTTTGTATGGCTTTTTCTAAGTTGATACTCCATCATGAGTTCCTATTCCACAATAATATTACTGGCTGTGCAGCTCATAGATGGTCATAAGTGTTTAAAATAAGATCCAAACATTCATGAATACACACATTTACTGCAGGTGGGGGAGGGGGGACCGGGCCAATGTATAAATAATACACTAGGTGTATCATTCTTGTGTGCAAATGTTTCTGATTGATAGGCATGTATCTCTTTGAAATGACAACATATGTTAGAGGTGTATATGTTCTACTATTCTACTTTATTTGGGAAAAGATCCTTTATTTCTTTGAGAATTTCTCCCTTGGCTTATAGTTGACACCCAAAGCAGTTTTGAGTGTAAACAATATGGATGACAAAATTTTGAACATGTTTGAAAGTCTATAATTCTTTATCAAAAATATGTACATTCTCAATATCCTGCAATATGTTGGACTTACATATGTACTTTTGTTTCATTTGACTTTTAAAGAAATCTGTTGTGGTATTGAAATGTATGCCAGTACTTGAAATGTCCATACTGTAAACAATATGGCTGACAAAATGTTTGGAAGTTTGAGAGTCTATATTTCTGGATCAAATGAAAGGATCTTTTCTATATCTTGCAATGGTGTGACAGGAGATATGTAGCTTTGTTTTATTTGACTTTGAAGAAGATCACTCTGTATGTTTAAATTCATGCCAGCACATGATGTTCACACACTGTAAACAATATGGCTGACAAAATATTAAGCAACTATATATCTGGATCAAAAGTCATGATCACTTTGATATTCCAGAATATGTGGGGGGATATAAGTAGTCAAGTTTCATTTTACTTTCAACAAGATAAGTTCATGTATTTGAATTTATGCCAGCACTTGTAAACAAGATGGCTGCCCAATTTAAGCAAACGTTAGGTCAGTTTGAAAATCTGTATTTCTGGATCAAATGCATAGATCTCTTCAATATCCCCAAATAATTTAAGGGGGTATATGTAGTTATGTTTTACTTGACTTTGAAGAGGATCAGTTGATTTTTTTAAATTTATGCCAGCACTTGAAGTTGAGGAATGTAAACAAGATGGCCACCAAAATGTTAGGTAACTTTGAAAATTAATATTTCTACATCATATAAATAAATCTGTTCAACATCCTGATATAATTTAAGGGGGTATATGTACTTAAGTTTTATTTGACTTTGAAGAAGATCAGTCGATTTTTAAAAATTTATGCCAGCACTTGAAATTGAGGAATGTAAACAAGATGGCCACCAAAATGTTAGGTAACTTTTGACAGTCTATATTTCTTCATCAAATACCTGGATCTCTTCCATATCCTGGAATAGTTTGGGGGGATATATTTTGCTGTGTTTCATTTCATTTTAAACAAGATTAGTTAATTTTTTTTTGAATTTATGCCAGCACTTAAAGTTCACACACTGTAAACAACATGGCTGACTAAATTTTAGGTAAGTTTGACAGTCTATATTTCTAAATAAGAAGTTGGCATCTTCTTAATATTCCAGAATGTGTTGGAGTGATGTATGTAGTAATGCTTGGTTTCACTTTGCAGAACATCAGTTGAATTTTTATAATTTATGCCAGTGCTTGAAGTTCACATGGTGTAAACAAAATGGCTGCCCAAATTTGAAGCAACTTTGACAGTCTCTATTTCTGGATCAAAAGTCCTGATTTCTTTCATATTCCGGAATATGTTGGTTTGATATATGTATTGAAGTTTTATCCTACTTTCAAAAAGATCGTGTCAAATTTTTGAATTTATGCCAGTGCTTGAACCAAACACACTTTGTTCAGTGGGTGGGAGGGGGGCAAATACATTGTGGATTCAATTTCTCGACATCGGTTCCACCGATTATTTTCAAGCTTTCAGTGTTAAAATGGCCCATATAGTAGTAATTAAATCAGTACTTCAAATGCGATTTCGAACTACCATACTATCACAGATCAAATGTTAATGTCGTCAGAGGGCACAAACTGCAGTTTCCCAGGACGAAAGGTTCAGAAACAGGGCAATCGGCTCTTCTATAAGTACAAGTCACATGAAAGATGAAGCACCAATGTATCCTACGTCTGTACGTACCTGGTATGTAGTCTTGCGTGGTCATCCTGGTGAACTGTGATCTTTTTTCCAACATGTACTTCATGAGCCGCCATCTTACTTGGCGGCCATTTTGTAACAAGCCTAAATTCCCATAAAGCATTGTGTTTCCCCACCATTGTACTTAGCACCATGGTAGTACTTAGTAAGTGGCGGTCAGGCTGATGGGGACGGAAATGTGGGGTGGTCAGAGGTCAACATTACGAAATGTAAATACCGATGACGTAATCCTATCGATTTCAAACTGGTCGGCTGCGGCGACCTAGTGGCGGCGTGTATTTAGTCACGTAGCAACTGGCCGGTCGTCCTAGCAACGAGCATGCTTGCCCGTTCTCTGTACACATGGCCAATATTTTTGGGTTGGGCCGCTCCATAGTGTTAGTGGAGCAGCTCTTTGTAAACATGGACAATATTTTTGAGCAACCCATCAATGTGTTCTGCCTCGTGGTCGGATGTGGTCTGGGGCTGGTAAACCGCACATACTAGTAGATCGGGTAATTTTATGATTTGCTAGTTGTAAAGGCGTCTTGTAGTATGAGCCGGTATATGAAGAAGTAGCCTGTGTTACACAATCATGCTTTCGGCCGGATTGATGTGCAACTGTTACTAATTACAGGGACTGCCGCTGCGCTAATGCCGACTGGTTGCTTGGCCAGTCGCGCTGTCCTGATACACCGCGAATGTTGGGCAATATGCGAGTGTTCCCTTTAGACAGTCCCGGGAGTTATTTTTTTTCGCACATTCGCACATTCCAGGAGCCAAACCAAAATACGTTCATGAACCGAGTCCAAAAAACCGAAACGTAAAAATCGGATGATCGGACCTGATGTACATTTCTCTTTCTGTAGATTGTACACACAATACACACATCTTTAGATAATCTGGCCATGGCAGGTAAAAAAAAGTAACCCTGAATTATACTAGATTAGCGTAAATGCATGTTTATGCGTTCAAAACAAGAAAAGAAATTGTTTCCCGGTATTAATCTCTTGAAACACGGCGCTGAATATTGACGCAAAAATATTTCAGGCATCGCGCGCCCTTCCCCGTTGTTTAGACTGTATGCAAATCTCGCGTCACGTGTCGGCATTTCACATCTCTGATTGGTTGTTGCGTCTTAAGATGACTGAGCCGACGCGCGTTTAATCAATTTTTCTTTGTTCGATTTATCACACTTCACAGAGAATTGTCGCCAATGGCTACTTCTTTTTGTTGCAATATATAATACTTCATGGAGAATTGTCACCTATGGCTTCTTGTTTTTTTTTTTTTGTAATTGATGGATCTTAGCCTAATGTGGTAATTGTTAGCTTATTCGTAAGTCATGTAGTGTATGTTTAATTTGTGTATCTCCCGGTCCCCGATATTAGCCATGCTGCGTAAATGGCCTCGTTGTAATTGAATTAAAATAAAATAACAAAAAAAACGCATGTGGCACACTTAAATTGTTTGTATTAGGGCGTGTTAACCCTCATTGTACGGTCGCCATACGACTCCAGACAGATAAAGTTCGTCTTGACTTTGTCCGGCATATGTCGTACAAAATCAAGATGTCAAAATTCGGAATTGCTGCTATATCTCAGTCTCGGTGGTAGGTTGTGTCACAGCCTGCTTAGAAAGTCTACGACATTCAAATCGTACCCCATACGGTGGGAGTGACCGCGCCTGTTATAATTACATGTTTACATATATTGGGCTGGCTGCTTGGATACGTAGTGTGCGTTCACCAGTTCATAACGATTAAGAGAGGGTAACATCATGCAGAACTTTCTTTGACCGTGCTTTGCTTCTCCATAGTACATATTTTACGAAGTCATTCCCGAACAGCAGCCGAACAGGTCGACTGGTGTTTGATAGCACTCTGACCAGATTTAGGCCACGCTTTCCTTCTGTATATGACTTAAAACGAATTTGAGATAAATGGAAGCCAGCCTTGGTCTCTCATTTTTTTATTTTTTTATTGTTTTATTTGTTTGCATCAACATATCAACAACATACCTCGCAGTCTTAACATACAGGGCTGAATTCTGATCAAGTTGTTTACAATATAAATTATTAATAGTAGGGAAATACAATTTACAATCATTTTGGAATCTACATATTAATATATCACTTTGGTTCGAAAATTAGGTATTTACAATCTTACAATTGTACAAACTATGACAATCTTTAATACGCCCCAAGCACTACCAACTTACTCCCGGGTGGTTTGTAGATGTTTTGTTGACGTACAGTCTAAAACCAGACAATTATTACCCCACCTCCCGAACGCCTCACGAGTGTTTAAAACATTTTGAAAGTTTTGGACTGCGCAGGCGAACCGTTACCGAATTCGTCGAACACCAGCCGACCAAGTCGACTCTACACCGACCTACTGGTAACCATGGTTGGCGATCGGTTGGCTAGCGTTCGGGAGGCCGAATTCGTAAATGGTTGACAGTGACTAAATACTGATCATTGTTTCTTATTCCTCAGGGGAAACGTCTGTTCTAGTGTCGAATACTACGGTTGCAGAGAGTCGTACAGAGACAGATACTACACATCCTGTGGCTTTGCGGGTTGGAAAACATGCACAAGGTTATAACTTTCATATCTCGTTCTTCCTTGCTTTGAAACCAATTTCAATGCAGTTTTAGGGCGGCACATTCAGTTTTCTGTTACCATGGTCATTACATCAATGTGGTAAGTTGACTGCTGCTCAATTGTTTCGTATGATAGGCTGATTCTAGTTATTTATGCCCCCATAAAAGAGATTTCAAATGCTTTAAGTATGAAATGATGACAGAATATGCTAAGAAATTGCAGTAAATGTCAATAGTAGACTAGACATATTTCCCCACCCATGGTATTTTTGTTATGTTTTGTCTTTTGGGGCTGGATGCCTTAAGGTAAATACACACGAATTGAAAATACTTAGTGTTATTTGTACATAGAGAACTACATTTGGCATTTTCGTTACTGTAAGTATCAGCCATTTTTTAAATATTATTAGAGCATTTAACTGTATCAGGGTACATGTCGTTTTATCATCACATACACCAACATGATAAAGATACATTGGGGCATCATGTTATTGTAAAGGATAGTGATTATATACATTCATAGATTTGGCTATATACATCCATATGGTCTTTATTGAAATTTCAACGGCAATACACGTCTTAATGTGGTAAATTACATGTACATGAAGACACCAGAGAATTTTTTCATCTATTTTTTTAGGTACCGTACATCGTACAGGGACGCCACATGTTCCAGGACTATTTACTTCTGCTGTAGCGGGTATGAACAATCAGGAAATCAGTGTGCTAGTAAGTACATACTTCTAGTATTTTATTTACATTAACACAAACGTTTTGATGAAAAAATATACGGCCATTCCAAAGGGTCCTTATTCTTACACCCGATTAACTTGTGGTAGTGACCCTTACCTGGGGGATCCTATTCGATTTCGTTGACTTTGGTGATCTTAAGCCACTGTCACACATAGAGGAATATGATCTCCCGAACACTAAGGTTTGAAGCAAGGTTGACTGGTTTCCGGCTCGGTGGACTGCTTTTCGGTCGCGCCATGATGCGCCAGCTAAGTGTTGATCTGTGTCCTGTTGGCATTCCTGGCACATTATTTTTCAATAATTTCATGCCTTAGTTATAGTTAGATCATAGTCCCCCGTTTTTTTTTTTGCCCTGCAGTGGCGTTCGTTGCGTTTCGCTGCGGTGTGATGCGTTGCGCAAGAAATACCCCCAAATCGTACCTATACAGGGTGCTATATAGATGGTACAAAAAAATTTAAAACATTCGGGTGTTGACCAAAAGTTAGGCCTCAGTAGGCTGGTAGTTGGGAGTAGGTCAGGGTTTAATAACAGTAAAATTTGATTAATAAATATATGCTAAATTCAAATCGATTCGAAAGGAAGGATAGACCTGGCCTTAATCTGTGCAGATTGCTCCCGAACTTTAGTTAACCTTTCTCGGGGACTTGGACAGTGCCTTTAAAGCTGCAATAAGTCATCTGACTTTATTATTTGTTCGTTCGCTTTTCGCTAATATGTAATTAACTCTATCCCGACTAGACGTGCGGAAGGTTATGCATTTATTAAGGTTCAGGTCATAGATGCCTAGATCAGATCGTAATTAAAACAATGAATTTCATAAAATGATATAATCTTCAACTTCTAATCTTCTAAACTAATCTTCACCAACGTATAATGAATTTCATACTTTTCATCAGCATATTGCATTGATAGATGGAAAAACTGTAACAACTCGAAGTTCAATATTAAGAGCTAAAATATGAGCATTTTTGGAGTCGATTTAAAGCCTAAATGTTTCTTTTTGGCAAATCATACAAAAAATGAACTGGTCGAATCCGAAACAACAAATGAAATTGGTGACCTAACTGGACTATGGGTAAAAAAATTGAAATGTTGCAAATAAATATGGTTCTCTACTTCAGGGATCTGCACGGACTCCAACTGTAACGCCCACCTGTGCTGGAATGACATCTGTCCTGTTTGTTTCCATGACTACGGAACTCACAATGGACGTCCTGCCCGAGCGTTTGACGTGGATGGCTTGGACTGCGATAGTAAGTGGCATTAATTTATTTTGTAATTAATTGAATAAAAGACCTTTATTGTATCTTAAGTACAGGTACAGGCCATGTATAAAAAAGAGGTAAACATTATATTAGTATGTTAAAAAAGTATAGATAGTAATGTACTATGTACAGATTAAACGTCTTCTCGCTTTTTGAGGCATTTTTAGATTTATGAACACCATAAGTGAATGATATGTGGTATAAGGAATATTTTTTAGTTTTTTTTTTGAGAATATGATTTTTCTGTTCTAGCTACATATTATCGACAAAATGACACTCATCTAAACTTTATCTTAATTATTGTATTCGAAAATTCGTTGCTGTAGAGGAATTTAGTACTTATGTCTGCCTTTTTAAATGAGGAGTTTGTGTTTAAGTTTTGTGATGGTTGTTCAATGTCGAATGTTCGTAATCTTTAGATATTTTCCTCGTCGTATATACATACTTTAAGTAATCTGTATGTTCCTAATTTGTTGTTGTTTAGTATTTCTGTAATGAAAGATTCCATAGAACATTAGTAGATATATACAGATGAGATGATTTGAGGTGAAGTAAAGGTAGATGACAAGGGCGAATTCCAGACATTGGCGAATTCTTTAACCACCACTGTCATTGTCGCCTTTTCTAACAGGACGCTGTTCCTGGCGTAGTGACAGTAACCTGTGCTTCCCGGGGACGTGTGAGCTGGTCGGGTCCTGTGCGTGCTCATCGGGCTTCTCTGGTCATCACTGCCGCCAAAGTAATCCGCTCCATGCCTATAGTGGGCTGCATAAGTGGCTGAAAAAAGTAGAAATTGGCTAAATAAATAGATAACATGGCAGGGGAGTTTGATCGATAAAGGAGTGCATCTACCGCCTCTCGGTCTTTTTAGCGGTCCAGTACCAACTCTCTCGGCATATTAGCTGTCTACTAGTCCAATGTCTACTCTTTACATCTGCTTCTGAAGCCTTGTAAAAGCTAGCTTAGGCGTTTAACTCGTCCTGAAGGCCTTTGTTTCAGAAAGTGTAACGACAATTATTCGCTTATGATGAAGCAATTCAGGTATATTTAAAGGAAATAAAAGATTGATGGAACATGAAAATAATTCATCTCTGTTATTATCGTTGTCTATACTGTACAATATGTTTGTATGTCTTATGTCAATATGTGATGTCTTATGCCGCTTGATTCATCGAAGGTCCAGTGGTATCGACTGTCTTTAAAGTGGAATCACTACGAGTTCGTATCCTCATCACAAACGATTTTTATAGACACAAGTAAAAATTAAGATTATCATAATTTTAACCTCCAGATAATATTTATTCTCTCCGGAGGGCTTTGCACTTCGCAACGTCATAGGTTACACAATAATTTTCTACATCCCGTTCACAGTTACTGCACGGCCAACATACTTACATTGGATCGGATATCTTCATGGAAATGCAGGAGGGACAGCAGAAATTGACGATGATAATCTGTATACATGGACCAACAAGGTAACATTAAATTTTCCTCTTATCAATATTTTCAGAATTTCGAATTAACATTGTTTTTATAGGATAGGGCGATCGCATTACTTCCGGAAAGTATTGGTGGATTTAAATGTTTGGATCCCAGAATATTGTTGACAGGAATGAGTGAAATATTAATTTTAGTATTTGAGAAGATGAAAGGTCTGAGAATCCAGACGAAATGCGGGCATTAAAAAATGGAGAGTCAAGGATTATTTAATACATCAAGAATGTCTGAAATATCCGTAATTTATCCGTTAAAGGCACATTATGTAGCATTTTGCACCAAAAACTGAAATATGGTATTTAAAGAAATATTCTTGTGATTGTAATTATTTCCACTTTTCGACATATTTGTAAAATTATCTCACACTACTGACGTTTACGGTTGACCCTTAAACAGTCCACATGAGGCACACTATGTCTGTGGTGCCCCACAATCTACCATGATTTAAACAAACATAGCTGACAGCTGAGTTTCAGGCTTAGACTTTTAAGCACACATCATATTTGGTACCTACACTTCCTGAATGGGTATTTTCCCAACGGAGTAGGGTTGATACACCTTACTTCGTTAAGAAATGATTAGAAAATACACATTTCGTCCTAATGTTACATAATACATCTTTAAACTTCTTGTTATTAATGTTATTTTCTTTTCTTTTTAGATTCCAAGTCATCTAGAGTTTCAGTGGCAGTTCAAGTACGACAAACCGAACCCTACTTACCATGCCTACATCCGGGACTTTAAGGTCGGCCCAGTACAGAGTTCTGTGTCATGGCGGCTTCTCAGAGGTAAATACATGAAAAATAGTTTATACACACATGTATACATGCGCAGAATTACTAAGATGCACTGACATATGGCCCATATATTCTTCTATGAACATATTATCTCCGAGACTGAAGTATTGTTTTGGGCGTATGGAATGAAATATAACAATAAGAGAGAGTTAAAATCATCGTTATTAAGTTTTGACAAACAAACAAGACGGACAGTTAAAACACCTAGGTCAATCCCTTAGTATGAGTTAATAGTTTAAACTCACGGGACGCAAGGTAAATATGCGTGCGTCGGACTATCTGGACGCCGAGACTGCAGTATAAAAATGGTGATTCATTAGGTTTATTCATTATTTAAGTATTCATTCCATTCATACGAAATATAATAATCCAGTCTATGATGTTATATGCTATCGCAGTGAATGAATTTTTCCAAGGTGATTATAATGATAAACATAGTTTTGCACCCATAGGAGGCTCCACAGTCACTAGCGACTCCCGAAGCTGTGACGAGTCTCTCAGCCGTGATGCCCCTCCCCTGGCACCCGTGCAGTGTGACCGTGAGATCAGCGTGTCCTTTACACCTGTACACCTGGACGAGTAAGAGCTTGACTTTTCAATTAGGATTCTAAATAGGATAAAATCATCTGGAACCAGCCGAATTGATTCGTTTGATCCGGCTTCGCTCCTGCTTCCACCAGGATCGGAGCCAGATGAGAGCCTTTTCTAGAGGGAATGGGGCCTAATTTACATTCTCCAAAACATCCGTATAGTTTTAATTTATGAAATAAAGACTGAGCTTTAACTTCCAACACTAGATACAGATTTGGGACTTACCCCAAATTCTACTACGGTCACGTGTCTCTGACGTCACGTTTTAAGAGTAGACGGGTCCATTCCGTGAACAAGGTTGATGGAGTCAACCGAAAATTTGGGGTAAGTCCCAATTCTTTAGCTAGTGTTGGAAGTTAAAGCTCAGTCTTTATTCCATAATGATTTGTACCAACATAGATGAACTTTCATGATCCGTATAGTTTATTTTTTTTATTTTCTCTCTTGAACACTTCTATGTCAGTGAGGAGGTGAATTCTGGCATCCTTTTTTGTATGTTGTGGAGTCCATAGTACAGTTGCCTACCTATTGTTACTGCAGCAGTGTCTCGCAAAGCGCAACCGTCTGATTTTTTCGATAGTTTGGGTAGCCCCTTTTTCTAATCGTATCCTAAACATCAGGACGTCCATATTTCACACCCGTAGGTCCAGTACGCTACTCAACCCTAGAATGCATTGTATCTTATATGATCTTTCTCTGTTGCCTGTTGTCTTTTTTTGCCCCAGGTTAAAAGTTGATATCTCTACTAAGTTAGGAGGATTCATGTCTGTGTACAACTACGACACCAGGAGTCAGAGCAACGTGTACTATAACGATGGTCCCTCCCAGACTATCTCAGCGAAGTTCGGGTGAGTTTATGCCTCTTATATGTACATACGAGCCCTGACATGCCACCAATCTTGTGCCCTTGGGAAATGCATTTTACTTAAGTAAAAATAAGTATTGTCCTGTCCTGTATTTGCCCTTTGCGTTGCTGGCGGTATAAAATAAGTTGATATAAGGTGAGTGTGAATTCACCATGTCTAAAGCTATTCATTAAAACAGTCGTTGTCATAACGGAGAATGGTAAACTTTAAGTGTATTAGATTTCGATGTCCACAAGGCAATGTTTCGTACGGAGTAGATGATTAGTGTTTTAGAATTAAGCCTTTTGACTCGGTTCAAATCCGAGCTTGCGCATTTTTCTTCTTTTTTTTCAGTAATATATTAGTATATTAATATATTATATATTTTTTTCAGTAATATTCTGTGTTTCACGATGCCGCTGTATGTTGGCAATTAAAATGTTGCTTTTATATACGTTATGAATATTTTTGCCCATCAGAGAAGCTCAATACGCTCGGATGTGGCGTTTGCAGGTCAGCGATATGACATATGGCAACGTCCATTTAAAATGGCAACGACCGTTTACTAGACGGAAACGCGCGTCGACTTTATCAGGGTTTATACTAATATAAAAGTACGAAAAGAAGACAACAAAACACACAAAAACTAATCATCATTTATACATTTTATACTGTTAATATGAACTGTGATGCAAACAGCCCGGCTGGGCCCCGGTTTGGAAATTTGACCTTATTACAAACTGCAACAAGCATTAACTGACTGGTTTATTTGTTTAACCGCCAGTTTCGACTACACAACACCAACTAATGCAGGTTCTCTTTCTGACATGTTAGACCTCGGCGAGTTTTTCACAAAGCAGGTTAGTATCACATATTAGAAAAAAAATTAAGCGACTGGATAGTTTTTTTTCAAAAGCCATCATGATGCCTTTAGGTAAGATAGAAAAAGATGAGCGATTCTGAGACAGCAACTATCATTCATGTGTATCATTTAGATGTCATGTTAATAGGTAGATAATCCCAAATTTAATATTCTTACTCAGTGTTTCCACTTCCGGTGGAAGGTGGCCCTATTTTATGTTATGTTTGTATGCTTGGGTTCCAAACTTAATGGGCGGAGATAGGGTTTAACTTGATTGATAGGGTTTGACTCAGAATGCCCTATGCTCAAGGATGTAGTTGCCAGGAATGTATGAAACATAATCCACAATGTAACAATGTAACAGTGGAGTACGTTTCCTCACACATTCGTGGTATTAATAATGTATTTATTGATATGATTTATACAAACGCATATAAACGCGAACTATATCTGCTTCTTGCTTTTTTTAAATTTCGGATTTCTTGCTCGGTTATAGCAAAGTATAACTGCCGGGTGGTCGGGCTGGAGTGACACGGGATCGGGGGTAGGACAGTACCGGGTCGATGTTTACCAGCTGCAGCGGGCTGGGGAGGAGCTCACGGAGACATTTCCTCCCACACATGAGCGTGAGTAACCTGCATGTCGCAATGCTGCGCCAAATCTTTGCTAGACTGGGTACCATGCTTCGCACTCACAGCATGATGTCCCTTTTAACTTGCTACCACTAGCGAGAGCCAGCGTGGACTACAGAGGATAATACGGCGGCTAAATATTAGCAGTCTTTGCTGCTGTATCAGATTTTATTTTGACCCAACTTTTCCTTTCACTACTTTGAAAAAAGAACAGATTTGGTTTGGTTTGTTGGTTTACATATTAACGTAGAGAAACAGGGCATTAATCGATTTATTACCACTGCCAAGAGGGTTGATATGCTTTTGATGTCCTCTGTGAAAATAGATTCTTCTTCTGTATTTACTTTTTCACACATCACGTATCATTGACTACTTCTTGATAAATATGGACCCGCCGGTATGTTTTTTTTTAACAAACTCCTTGTTGAAAATATTAATAAGCGTATGACTTGCATTAGTGGAATCATACAGCCTGGAATCCATTCCTACAAGCTATTTACTGGCTGCGGGTGGCGGCGACTACTAGAGCCGGCAAATAGCTCGTAGGGATGAAATCCAGAATACGAATCATATTGACTAAATACACTATTCGAATAAAAATATATGTGTTCAGTTTGGTGTTGTATATTCAGTAGTATATGTTGCATTGAGCTCTTTTTCTACACAGTGGTGGTGGATACATCTCAGAGTTCGGTACAGTTTGACATGGACGTGAACACTCCCGGAGTCTTCTCTGTCGTCCTGGCTGTGGAGGATGCTTCAGGAGGAGTGGAGAGGGGAAACATGCAGGTACAAACAAACAAACAAACACACGAGTGGGCTTGCCAAGCACACATTCGAGCGGGGACACACACACACACACTTACGCACACACACACACACACACACACACACACACACACACACACACACACACACACACACACACACTACACAC